AAATGATCTCAGAGGCATCCCCATCCCGTACTCTTCTGGTAAAGAGAGCAACAGCTATTCCACGCTATCCCCATTTCATGGGTTCACACTAGGCCCAGCTCAAAGCCCACTGGAGTCCTTCGATTGACTTCAACGGGCTTTGGTTCAGGGCCATGGTTGTGGTGCAGACAAGCCAAGCAGGACATGAAATTGTATAGCCTGATTAACTGGAAATTCAAACCACCGCATGCAATAATATCCCAGGACCTGATCCAAACCCCATTGAAGTCACTGGGTGTCTTTCCACTCCTTTCAGTGGGCTTTGGATCTGGCCCTGAAGCAGGAAGTCAGGGATTTAAGTGGCATTATATTGTTAGTTCTTACACGCCGTTTGACATTAAAAGGCAGCTGTAATATATTTGGGCTTGATGCATGGGGAAATATTTCCCATTAAGGAGGATTCTTCATTATCTGAGTTAATACTCCAGGGATTCTGTGACAGATATCCAGCAATATCCTTGTAAGAGCTTATGGCATTAAGTCTATGTAGTATTGGAGGCTGGGATTGTAGGTTCTCTCTCTAGGGGGGGGAGATATGACAGATATTGCAATGCCAGGCAGTATTTTTGGTATCCATTGTGCTAAATGAACGGTTTTGTATGGTTGTGTTCTAGTCCCCGGGGAGGGCTATCACAGCTCCTCCAGGAACTAAAAGCAGTGGGTGGTGATTGAGACAAATCACCCAGGTTGTAACCCCCACCTTCGAGAGGTACCACCACTTGGGGAAGTTCACACACACTATTTCAAACTGGATTCTCCAGAGACCAGTAGACAAAGAAAGGCCCTTTGGATATATAGACCAAGTTTTAACAGACACAGGGCTTTCATTCCGATGAACAGAAGGTTCTGTTCAAAGCCCCCCACCCCAATCTTTGCAGAAGGGTTGGAAGGAGTTGACTTACTGGGGCCTCATAAGACTGATGGGTGACCTCTGGTGAGCTTTTAATTCGTGGTTGGGTTCTTTTATACATTTTCTCTGTAATGCTTTCACCTTAAGAATAAGGTGTGCTTGCTTAGAAAGAGCTGTATGGTAACTTCTAAGTGCGGACAGCTTGCCTGTTTAGACAGTCTGGCTTGCTGGGGATATCACAGTGTAGGCAGGGAACTGTGCAGCCAGCAAAAGCCCCAGTCAAGAGGGGGAGAGACACGGGTCTCTGCTCAAGAGGTGGCAGCTGGGAAATAGAAACCTTTAAGTGGATGCTCTTGGGGAACAATAGAGGGGAAAACAGGTGCAGTTACCCTGAAACTGTGAAAGGTTCAGCCACACTTCCTTCTGCTCTATCACCACACAAGTACCAGTAAATGCTTCCTCTGTAAGGTGACTGCAGTGCTGTCGGAGAAACCTTAGCCTTAAATTAGATCACCAGAAAACTTGCCCAAAGCCTGAGGGATTCTTCACATAGGTGCATGCATGTGCATACTGCTCTAATGCCACTTATAATGAAATGCTCCTCCATCTTTTGAACCAGTATTTGTGTCTAGCACAGGTTCTGCACAGCACCCATCACCACAACAACTAATCCTTTGCTTTACGGTCATTGTAAGAGAATTAGAAACTATATTTAGATTGTAAGCTTTGGAGCAGAGATCGTCTCTTCCTATAAGTTTGTCCAGCACCTAGCACAATGGAGCCCTGATCTCAGTTCACAGTTCCCCTTTTCCCCCAAACATTGGAGTTTCTCAGATAAATTTACATCAACTTGTGCCTCTTTTCCAGGCATATTTTAAAGAGTGAGCTTTAATCAAAAAGGAAATTCAGCTCATATATTAAGGTTCACCAAAAATATTTCCAATAACTAAGTAGTGAGAGTTTCTACTTGGAATTTTTACATTGAAATATGCAATGAGCATGCTGGTTAGATAAATGATCCAGTCCAGGAACAAAAACAATACTACACCATGAGCAGAATGCAACATTTGAATATTTACAACAAGCCATACAAACATCCGGCAGACCAATTATTTGTTGAAGAAATTCACAGATTATTCTGAACAATTAACAGATCCCACAGGTTTGCAATCTTCTCATGGAAGAGTCAACAGAAAAAGCAGCGTAATTTGTTAGGTTAAGCATTTCCTATGAAGAATTGATCCAGCTCTATTTATTCCCAGGTCCTTCGATTGCTGTTAACAGCTGTTAGAAAAACATCTATTATTGGCTTTAACGCACAATTGCCTTCGAGGCTACAACTCTCGTTTGAAGAAGCCAGATTGATTTCTGCTCCTTGCTTTATGAGTGGCTCATTCTCCCCTTTGCCATCTCCAGCACTGAACTGCACTTCACATTTTTATTTGCAGTTTGGTTTATGATGGGTCCCAGTACACCCAGCCTCAAAGGACTGGGACTACATGACTTTTTCAGAAGAGCAACGAAAAGGAGTGTCAGGTGGCTGAAAAGTTCCTTGGTAACATTTAAGTCATTTGTAACTATCAGATCTAGCACTACTTAAATGGATTTGCTGTGTCTATCTTCTAACTGCAGGGTGCTGGGCAATCAGGGTGTTCATTGGCTGTCACTTCTGAAGAGCCAAATTGCAGCCTAGCTTAATAACTATCTTCAATCAATAGAATTACCTTCTCTCTCCTACAGGCGGTGCTTTCTAGATGGCATGTTTTATTAGCCTTGTAGAAAAGAGTTTTCTAGGTTAATGTGTTACAGGCACATTTAAAGAGAAGGCTGGCTGGCAAACAAGAGTTCTGTTTCGCCAAAGCTTTAGAGGTTTCAGCACAGCATTTGGTCTCATTCCACATCAGAATAAAAAGCAGACTTCCAAAGTTGTTTCTCTAAGCACTATGCTACTGGCTAATTGGCAGAGGGCGGAGCTCTCGTTTTGAGCAGACATTCCATCCTGAACCTGATAGACCTTCCCAATGAAAGTTGCATGGAATCCAACCCATCTTTGCAAGAGTTCAGCTCGGATGAATCAGAAAAAAGTCTCATCAGTAAGTTCCCAACCAGCAATATTTAAGACACACCAAGCAAGAGAAACCTCACACAACCCTTAAATAGGTCTTTGGACAGCTAAAGCAATAGGGTGGATGCAATTATCTTACAGGTCAATGAGGCCAAAGGTGGAAGCCATCTTAGAGCTCAACAGTATCACTTCGGAGGACCCAGGCATTAGGTCACCGTGGGGTCATATCCTATCCTAGATTGTGGATGCATCACACTGGGGGACTTGCTCAACTTTGATTATTTTAGGCCCAGCTCTGCTCTCAGTGCCCTGTTTGATCGAGGTTTAAGCGATTTAGAAGAGAGAGAGTTTGCCTGAGACTTGATTTATGCAAGAGCCCCTGTCTCTACCATTAACTCACCCTCCTCTGGGGTCAGCTTATTCACCTGTTGCCTAAGTACCAGGCTGAGCTCTCTGGGGCAGGGACTGTGTGTATAGTAACTAGTACAATAAGGATCTGGAACAAGGATCAGGGGCTTGAAGTAGCGGTAAACATTGGAGAGCCTTTTAATGGACAATAGTTGGGTCAACGAGTGCTTTGGATGGATTACAGCACATACAGCGCAGAATTCCCTAAGGCTTTCCTGCTGGTGTGCTTAAAGGGCCGTAAGAAGAGAGCTCAGGAGACACGACTTCATGCAATGTCTAACGCTGCATCTCCTCCAAGAGGAAACCCCATCCCATACAGCCAGCAACCTTCATCAGGCAGAAAGCCAGAGCAGCAACAGTAAAACCAGCCGGCTAGCTCGGAGCTCAGTTCTGGAGCACTCAGGCAGGCAACATTGTTATTGACCCCAATGTATTAAGATAGCAGGATTGGGCCCCTTTGTTAGCATCACCCATAAGCAGTCTTAATTAACTACATCGTCACTATAATAAAAGTGAGGTCTATTTTCCAGGTCATCAGAATTACATGGGAAGCAGAGCAATGCGGAATACCAGGTCTGTGAAAGCAAAATAGGAGCCGGTTTTGTTCAGTACTATGGTCGGGGGCAGACTTTTCTCTCTGCCCATAAACTACACAGGATTTGAACATTCAAGGTTTCTAGTTAAAGTCACACACAGGCACCTCCTGCTGGCAATGGCCACAGTTCCTGCTATGAAGTGATTTCATCTGTTATGTTGCAGCGGCCAAATTATAGTACCACATGGCACGTCTGTAGTGCTCTTCAACTGCTGAGTACGTCAGCTAAGCACAGAGAGCTAGATGCCAGTATTCAACAGACTACTGATCTGGTCAGACATTCAAGGAGCGAAAGGTTGGAGAGCTGAGACTGTCAGGTCTGCAGAGCTCCTAGTGTTACAGCAGAACTCAAGCCAATGGGCTCCCTTCTGCAGAGCGCAAGGACTAGGCAGAAGCAGGATTTCGGTCAGTGCAACCTCGGGGGGACATAAGCAGAGGTCAGGAAAGTCAGGGTTTGCCTTACTGTTGCCCCAATGTTGAGTCAGGGAAACGGGGCACAGAGAAGGTTAGTGACTTACCCAAGGCCCTGAAGTGAGTCCCTGCCTCCCACCCATCACCATCCTTAACACTCCTCTGACAAGCAGAAGGCAACCACTGCTGCTTAAACACTAGAGGCTTGTTTAGTGCACAGAGTCGATCAGGAACAACTGTGTGGAATATGAGTGTCTGCACATGGAGCTAATCAGGACCAGCCGCACACGTCGACAAGCCACACGTGTGCTTAAAAGTGCCCAACAAGGCCCAGCTCACATTTAACTCAGAGGTCACTCAAGGCAGTCTGCTGCCCTAGGTAATACTTCAGTCCTCCTCCCCACCACAACTCAAATTTAGCCTGGCCACCCCTCCATCATGACTGAGGGGCAGCCAGGCCAACTCTGCCACTTTAGACAGCTTGCCTATAGCTAGAGCAGCCTCTGCCTGCCTTCCTGACAACACCTTGGCTTAGAGTTCTCCTGATCCTGGACATTTAACCGCTGACCCCAAGATGCCATGCCATTTACAGAGCCCACACCTAGATGAGTGCATCATACCCCGTGACTCACCAGGGTTAGCCAGGGAAGCAATGCTCAGAAGAGAGGCACTCAGAACCACACTCCAGTCCAACACAGGCAGTGGTGAGTAAATGTTGTGGCCTTTTGTTACTCCCCGTCACCTGCAAGGCAAGGGAAAGAACCTGATTAGTTACACTCTGCACCTGGGAGGGGATTAGCGGCTTGCCTCCTGGCCAGAGGAGGCGGCACTAGGCAGTGGAAGGAGAGAGGAGTTAGGGAGAGCTCTGTGTGCCTGGGAAGGGCCTGTACTTCAGGACTGGCTGAGCTACAGGATCAGGGTTTATTCCTGGGAGCCCAGAGAGGAGAGAAGCCCTGAGTGAGGGTCTGTGAGGAGCAGGAATGAGAGAAAAGCCCCTGAAGGGTGAAAGCCAGTTTAAATGGTGCTGAAGCTCCCAGCAGAGAGAAGCTGGCCAGAGCCCTGTCAAGGGGATGAAGAGAAGTCAAACCAGGAGGGGGACTGAACTGTTGTGGGACTTGGCTGGAGGACGGAGCCACAAAAGACCAGGGAGAAAGTCCGGGAGAACATTGCAGCCAGGAATGTAGCCGGCAGAGGGGTGTGAGAGTCCAAGTCCCCTGTCATTTCATGTCCAGGTACGAGGGGGTGCTCCCTTGACATGCCCCTTCTCACCCTCTTGTGTATGGACAAGGCCTCATCTCCAGGGCTGGTGGTGAATTGTTTTACACTGTAGCTTGCTGCTGACTGATTCGTTATTAAGGGCAGCTCTGCCCAGAGATAGGGAGTTTCTAGCTCCTATTAACTGCCCAGCATTAACTTAGCAGCCGCAGCCCTGTGTGTCTCCAGAAGGGTAAGATACCGTGGAGCAGCCATCTCCCATGATTGCCCCATCATATCCTGGCCCCTCCCACATTGCACTGCCCTGACCCTGCAGTACCCACATGGAGGGGCTTTTGAAATACCCGGGGCAAAGTGGGTGTAACATGCCTCCCCAGGGCTTCTTGTTCCCTTCTTCCAGGGGGACAGAACATTGGTGTATGCAGCTGTGTCCTCGCAGAGCGGCAGCAGCCCCAGCATACAGCGACAGGCATGCTGATGAACTTCAGAAGCTCAAATTCACATCCACCCATTTGCAGCCTGGGACAGAGATCCTGGACTGGGCTTAACAGGCTGATGAGTGGAATGGCCGAGTGGCTGCCAAGATACAGAAATTTGGCTTAGCCCAGTTCTCAGCATGACTGCAGGGCAGCGATGCAGCTGCGGAAACATGTGGTGGAGGAGGGCACAGTCAGAAGGTTGGAGGGTGGCCTGCAACACCTAGCTACCCTTGCTGATCCAGCAGTTAGATGGCTGAATAATGTAGCTATCGACTTGTGATGCAGACAAAAGGAGATGGGGACACAGAGGGGAGGATGAGGCCCAAAGAGAGGCGGAGAGGATTTCCCCAGGGCATTGTCACATCAGAAACAGCTTTATCTACAGAGCCTTAGGTGCTCACTGCCATTTGGCAGCAAGAGGAGTACAGCAAGGGGCCCATGTCTTGGAGGAGCATGTCAAGTGGCATCCTACAGTCCTGAGTATTCCACATGTGCCCAAAGCAATTAGCCCTCTAGTTCTCCTTTAGATTACTGTAGCATCTATAGGCTGCAGTTGAGCACCTGACCCCCATGGTCCTAAGAGCTGTACAAACACGACTGTCCTTACCCTAAGAGTTGACAATCTGAACAGACAAGAAAAAGGAAGCATTGTCCCCATTTTACAGAGGGAGACCTGAGACAGAGAAATTAAATGACTTGCCCATGGTCACTTGTGGCAGAGCCAAGAACTGAAGCCAGATCCCTCAAATCCCAGGCCAGTGTACTAACTACAAATAAATACTTCCACTTCGACATTTACCTACAGAACAAGGTCAGAGCTAACCACGCTTTTCCTACACCATTCTACCAGCACAACAAAATATCTGCTGCAACAATTATGTCCTTTGATTATATGACGGGGCGTTACAAAGGTGGTAAATAATCCAACCTTATTTTAAAGCTAGGGACACTGAGACACAAAGGGTTCCTGACTCACCCCTCTAACTACCCATTTGCTAGTGTGGTTACTCCATTTACACCCAGACTGTAAGCAAACGTGCAGATCTGACAGCAATTGGCATTATGTCTGTGCGCGCTTCATGGCCCATTTAATACTTAAGCCCTAACCTTTCACTGCATTATAGTTTTAAGTTGATGTCTGCCCTGTGCTTTGAAGAGGTAAAGCCCTCCACTCCTTGCACCAATGACCTTCATATGCAGGTTCTAGTGCAGTGGATCTCAAACTTCTGTACTGGTGACCCCTTTCACATAGCAAGCCTCTGAGTGCAACCCCCCTTATAAATTAAAAACACTTTTTAATATATTTAACACCATTATAAATGCTGGAGGCAAAGCCAGGTTTGGGGTGGAGGCTGACAGCTTCTGAGCCCCCATGTAATAACCTCGCAACCCCCTGAGAACCAGCCCTGATCCTAGTGTAAGCTCTTCGGGGCAGGGGGTGCCTGGAGTTTGCTTCAGATTTTCAAAGGAGCTGAAGGGAGTTAGATGCCCAAACCACATTGACTTTCGGTGGGGATTGAGTGCCTAATCCACTTTGGCTGCTTTGAAAACCCCAGCCTTTCTGCTTGGTACAGTGCCTACCACATCATAATACCTGGCTCTTATCTGACATGGTCCATCAGCAGATCTCAGAGCACTTTACAGAGAGGTCAGGATCATTATCCCCACTGTACAGTTGGGGACACTGAGGCACAGAGAGGAGAGGTGACAGGCCAGTGGCACAGCTGGGAGTAGAACCCTGAGTCCCAATCCAGTGCTCTCTCCACTAGGCCACACTAAAGCAACAGCCACCACCTGAATTAGAGACAGTCCCAAGATTCAAAATCCCAAGCCAGATTCCAGCCCCCCAAAACTCTGAGGTGTTTGGATCTGTGGGTTTGTTCCAAGCCCCATAGCTAAAATATACATAAGATCATAAGAACGGACATACTGGGTCAGGCCAATGGTCTATCTAGCTCAGTATCCTGTCTTCCGACAGTGGCCAGTGCCAGGTGCTTCAGAGGGAATGAACAGAACAGGGTAATCATCGAGTGATCCATCCCCCATTATCCAGTACCAGCTTCTGGCAGTCAGAGGTTTAGGGACACTTGGAGCATGGGTTTTGTCCCCAGCCATCTTGGCTAATAGCCATTGATAGACCTCTCTTCCATCAACTTATCTAATTTTTTTAACCCAATTATAGTTTTAACCTTCACAACATCCCCTGCCAATGAGTTCTACAGGTCATCTGTGCATTGTGTGAAAAGGTACTTCCTTTTGTTTGTTTTAAACCTTCTGACTATTAATTTCATTGGGTGATCCCTGTTTTTGTTATGTGAAGGAGTAAATAACATTTCCCTGTTCACTTTCTCCATGATTTTATAGACCCCCTTAGTCATCTCTTTTCTGAGCTGAACAGTCCATCTTTTTAAATCGCTTGTTGTATGAATCTGTTCCATACCCCTAATCATTTTTGTTGCTCTTCTCAGCACCTTTTCCGGTTCTAATATATCTTTCTTTGAGATGGGGTGACCAGAACTGCACACAGTATTCAAGGTAGTCATGGATTTATACAGGGGCATATGATATTTTCTGTTTGATTATCTGTCCCTTTTCTAATGGTGCCTAACATTCTACTAGCATTTTTGGCTGCTGCTGCACATTGAACTGATATTTTCAGAGAATTATCCACCATGACTCCAACATCTCTTTCTTGGGTAGTAACAGCTAATTTGGACTCCATCATTTTGTATGGATAGTGGGACTGTGTTTTCCAACGTGCCTTACTTTGCATTTAATCAACATTAACTTTCACCTGTCATTTTGTCACCCAGTTTACTCAGATCCCATTGTGACTCTTCGCAATCAGCTTTGGACTTAACTATCTCAAGTAATTTTGTATGTTTTGCTACCTCACTGTTTACCCCTTTTTCCAGATCATTAATGAACATGTTGAACAGCACTGGTCCCAGTGCAAATCCCTGGGGATCCTGCTATTTACCATTCTCCATTGTGAGAACTGACCACACATTCCTACCCTTTGTTTCCTATTTGTCAACCAGTTACTGATTCACGAACAGTTACTGAACAGCCCTCACCAGTTTGTGCACTCACAGTCCCCTTCCCATCATGTCCCAGAGCTTTTGCAATTAGAACACTGGATATCAAAAGCATTTGCACTGAAGATGGGCTGTAATTGCTCAGGCCACGCTACAAACTGTATCTAAGAGATTAGCCTAGTTACACAGCCATACAAATGAGGGTCTGTTTGTCTAATTATCATAATTTGGATAATTATGTCTACATTAGGAAGGACTTGCTTCTTTTTCCTTTCTGATAATTAGATACTCATAAATTTCTTTTATTCCATAAAAAGCTATACACTCTTACAGACATTTTAACTGACACAGGACTCTTCCATTGCCAGAGAACAAATCAGAACTACTAGCACCACAAAACATTGACTAGTTCTTTTTAGCTGCGCTTTTGGCTTGTGTCTTAGCTTTCAGGTATTTTTTTCCCCTCCAAACTTGAAGTTCTATATTTAGGCCCTTAAAAATGGCCTGATTTTCAGAGGCACTGAGCACCAGCAGCTCCCATTGATTTCAATTTGGCATTGTGTCCCCAGTACAATGGATATGTTTACTGGCAACATGTTATTTAGCCATTAGGTTTCTGTGCCGTAAATATTTCCAGACAAGGAGTGGTCCCTGTTAAACAAAGGCGATAAAACTGGACCTCAAGCTATGTGGAAGCCTGCATGTCTGTGATTGTATTCTTTAGTTTAATAAGCATCTCCTGTGGAAGACACATTTTGAAACTATATTTTCGGACATCAAGCATCAGTGGCACTGGAATGCTTTTTATAGTGGGGGTGCTGAAAACCAACAAAACGATCCCCAAACTTTTTACCTCATGCCCCCTTTACCTCTGTCTGCCCTCCACCCCTCCCACGAGCTGAGGCCGGGAGCAGGGCCGTGTTTCCAGGAGGAGGGGAGCACGGACAGGAGGAAGGGGGCCAAGGCTGGGCCACAGCTGGGGGCAGGCGCAGGGCTGGGAACAGAGCCCC